TTGAGCGAGCACAGATAGCTGTAATCCTCTTTTAGAAGTGAGGTTAATTCATCTTTCATAGTTTATTGTTATGGAATTGTCTGTTAGACACACCCGGCATGTTATTAGTATTCTATGAACTGAAGAATTATAGATATGCCAGGTGCTTTAAAAGATATGCAAGGCAGAAAATAAAACACCTTGCAAACATTGGCCTGGTATTTTTTTAACACTGTAGGCTCAAGACTTTTTGAACATAGGCCTACTCAGTATTTACTTTGTCTCAGCATCCGACGGTACTGTTTGTACTTGTAGTATTTTAACCCTTAAATGCATAAATGTTTCGCTAATCATTATTACATATTTGGGTCTTTAGCGACCCGGATCTATATCTAACATGGATGGATCTCTATACCTGTCGTGATAATATAAAACTAACAATTACAGAAGATTAAATTAAATACATTTTGTTACCTTTTGGATTTTGGAAGGGTTTGAGCCGATGTTTTATACCATCATCACTGTCCTCGTCAGAACTAATTTCCAAGTACATTCAGCATCTGGCTCATATTCGCCATCTTAAACATATTCTCAAAACTATCATTTTCGCTGACAGCTTCTTTATCAGATCCACCAACAAGTGACAGTGACACTAATATTTGATTGTGTTTAGTACTTGCTCTGCAGCAAATCACTGAGCCATTTCAAGTTTTGCTGATGATACTTCCTATTCTTTTGTTTTCTGCCTGCGGTAACTATGAGTGAATCGTCTCTTCATCATTGTGGATCAGACATTGCCACATTGTGGAATAAAGGTGAATTGCACTTATTCAGTCATCAAAGATTCAATTACTGTTGTGCAGAAAAATATACTTACACTGTTACACACCTGGGGTCGTTCGAGACCCTATAAATCAAAAAAAAAAAAAAAAAAAAATTCAGAAAACAGGCGTTCTTTTATAATTTTATTTTTCTTGTTGTATTGCCTCTAATGAATAGATTGAGGAATACTAAGAAGGTTGATGTCTAACTTTAAAAAATGAATGAGGAGGAGGGTAGTGAATGACTCCCCAGGTCACTAAAGACCCGAGGTATGCATGAACATGAAGAGAAGATTCAGAAGCTGAATTAGAATACATTGTTTACATTTACAATGAAACATCTTGTTCAATGACATTTTGGAAAAGAGAGGCAAATTGCAATATGGATGAAAACCCCACAGACACACAGAACTGGTTCAGTTATTCTTTTATAAGCAGGAAAGCACCGTTGTGCAGCTTCAACATAATGTTTGCACTGTGCATCACTGAATAACAAAGCACGCTTCAGAAACCAGGAAAGAGACGCTGACACGCTGTTCTATGAGGAATAAGATCCTGACTCTTAAAATCGCTTAGGGCTGCTTCAGTATGTTTGCAACCACTAGTAGCTATTTCTTGAAAGGTCAACCGAATATATGCGCCGAACACACGTGGGCAGAGATGCTGACACATATTTCATTATAAGATCCTTGAAAAATCCTTCAAAACTACCTCCCAGCAAAATTCTCATTTGATTGACAACGACTCTGAGCTGCACCACTAAAATTGTGAAAGCACGATTATAAATATTTTTGTGCAATTTTTGTTGAGAGTATTGATCAAAACACTTATCAGATATTCAGAGCGTGCACTTTAACAAATATCAGTTTTTAAAGAATAAAATATTCAAAGCATGATGATAAGGATCTGTTTTTGAGAGAAGGATGATGTAAAATCTGGTTAAGCACTTTGTGGTGCTCCACTCTGTGTTAGGCTCTTGAAATAGCGTTTGAAGAGCCTGTTGGCAGGCACTTGTCAAGAAACGCTCAGGTAACTGTAACAACTTCCCACTTGTTATTGATCTGGTTGAATGGAGTGATACAGTTCAAGTTCAATAACTGCTCAGATGCTGTACTGATATGGAGATATGATGGGTTATGTAATACACCACAATAGATTCCTATAAATGCCCTCTGAATAGTATGCAATATATCATATAGCAGTTAAACTACTGAGCGGTTCATTCTTCCTGTTTATAGTGCATGATGATTTAAATTTTACAGCAAGTAGTACTCGAAGACCAGTGTATTATTAACACACACACAAAAAAACATTAAAAGAAAAACATATAAAAACAAGCAACAATAAAACATTTCAAAAGCAATTCCAATGTAAGATTAATACATCTAATATGTATGAAACGCCGAAATTATTTAGGGGTTACAAAAATGTGGTTTTGTTTGCTATACATAATTTTTCCAGATGCATTGTGGCTCTTAAAGACCCTTTATATAAAAAGCCAATTTCACAAGCAGAAAGAAAACATTTTCAGTAAATTTACAACCTTTCAGAAAGTGATACAGAAGCAATTTGGTTCTCCGATATTGGTAGACATAAAAGTCCTCTCAGCATTCCTTTGAGCAAAAGTAATGCATCTAGGTTTTTACAGCCCCTCTTATGTTGGCTTATTTCTTATTCAGTACACCCAGCTCCGTGCCAAAATGTAGTTATAATGTCATGGAGATAAATTACCCATCTATTTAACATAAAAAACAACCCTAAAATGACCAGAAGGAGTCTGGGACTGGTAGCCTTTTCTGTCTACACAATATAAACACGCTATTATTAAAGTTTTAATGTCGTGCAGCTGCAAACGTGTCCCTTTTAATTCATAAAAACATGTTGGCATAATGCAAAGAATGTGATGTACATTTAATGTCTTCTTTAACACTTGATTGTCTTATGCAACATCAGCAGCTATTGGCTTTAAAACCAATAAACGAAGCACCACACATATTTCATCTGAACACTTAAACTGTTTCTCCCATGGTCTGTTCAACTAAGGTACCATTATCTCAAAACATAATAAAAGGCAAGCATGCAAACGTACAATATTTTAAGCAACCCCACTTTTTGGATGCCTAAAGTATATGTGAAATAACAGGTTATGATATGATCCGTCAGCCAGACAGCATGAGTTTGGCTTTGCATGTTGCATTAGATCAGAGCAACCCCAGGACAATTTTGAATGTTTAGAAGTCAACCCCCCTCCGCTTGTAAATATCAGTGTGATCACCTACCCTTGACAGCTGACCAGAGAGATAAAGATAATGTATTCCGTATGAGAGTCCCCTTGCTCATCAAGCCAATTCATGTCAAGCCAGCTCCATCTTTTTAAACGGGCCAACTGACTACTTATCACAGGTATTCTGCTATAAAGTGAGAATAGAATTAATGTGATTTATACGGCAGTATGTTTAAAAACTAGCTCATATGATGGAGCATGTCTGCCTTCAAAGTCGAGGACACAAGGGTGAAATTCTGCTTCATGCTTTACGCCTCTAAGGACGGAGCCACAGTTCACAAAACCATTGATCCAGTGAGCGCAGTTTTCACTGGGATTTACTTTGTAATTAAAACTTTTACGAGATCATAACGTTTTATCAGGTGCTTAATATTCATTCCCAACTTTATGGTTTTGCAACTCTTGTTAAAATTGAAATGGACAACAGGACGTGAAGTTATTAAAAATATCATAATGAGTACTTTGTTTTTGTTATGCAAATCTCGGCAGAGTTTTTGAAAATGCCCTTTTTTATGGCATATAATTACAGAAAAGTAATCAAAATGCACACTGTGCGTCCCTACGGCATCTAGACTTTTTTGAACAGTGTTTTGGACTGGTTAAATGTCAGCCACGGATTTGTTCCGTGAAGGACAGCAAAATAAAGGCTTTAGATTGTTTGCTGTGAGTCAGAGGGATTATTCAGATTCAGATGCAGCACAATGGCTTGTAATCTACCAGTCTGCAGGGAGAGCAGCTCAGAATTTACATTATCATGGCTTTATGAAGAGACCAGATCCCCGCAAAGTCCCGTGCATCCAAAAGAATAAATAAAAACAGTAAAGTTTGTGCAAATGGTAATCTGCCCCTTTGGAAAACTCTGGCTTTCAATCCACTTATTTACAGAGTTTAGCTCTAATGGTTTCAATTTTGGCTCTGACAAGTGTGAAGGAAGATATACATAGAATCACTAATGTCCAATTGGAAGAAAAAAAGAGTATTGTTATGACTTCCGCACAGTGTATAATTCACACATACAAAAACTGCATCAACCAACATGATGACAGTCATTGGCGGAGCTTGTTTTTGTGGGTCTCCAAAAATTTGATAAAGCCATCAAATAGTCGAATATAATATAAGACTAAATCGGCCATTGCTATCATTCTTTGAAAAGCTATAAATGTGTTTGCTCAAAAAAGTTTGCTCAAGCTAACTGCTTTTCCAAGTAATATTACAAATTTATATTCAAAAACCTTGCCTGTTTAATATGTCATGGGTTCACTAACTGAAGCTCTGCCGTAAGAGTCAAATAACCCCTAAATCTGTCCAAAATAATACTTTGCCATACACACATTTCAATAATATGTCCACAAATGATATGTTAAAGGAACAGTTGCCCCCAAAAGAAAAATTCTGTCATTGTTTAATCACCCTCATGTCATTCCAAACCTGTAAGATGTTTTACTTTTCTGTGGAACACAAGAAAGAAAAGTTTAAGTGGTCAAAAACAAACATTCATTTTGTATGGACCAAAGAAAGGAAGTCATACAGGTTTGTACTGATATGATGTAGGCCTAAGTAAATGATGACAGAAATGTCATTTTTCTCTTTGATCTAAACAGCTATTAAACAGCTATTAGAGTTGGAAGAGTGTTCTATAAACACTGAAATGCACATGTCCGTGACTCATGCTTTACCGCAATCCAAACACATTTTCTCCAACATGACCTGTCAGTCAGTGTAACTCTGTGGAACCTCAGAACTGACGGGTAAATTGAGGGGAAAATAAAAGATGAAGTCACAGGTGGACACAGCAGCTTGTGCAGGTGTTAGTTAAGTTTTTCCTGTCACCCGCGTAGATCAAATAGCCATATCAAACTGACAGAAGCGCACATCGCTCGGCCTCAGCTCAACTCCGATCTTCCTCTTTCCCACAGGTTGGCTTTGAACAGTATCTCTAGGATGAGCTCCAACTGCTCAGATGAGTTTTTCCAGGCCACAAACCATGCGGAACAGACCTTTCGAAAGATGGAGACCTATCTTCAGCACAAGCAGCTGTGTGATGTACTTTTGATAGCTGGAGATCACAAGATCCCTGCACACAGGTGAGTCTCCACCGAATCAAGGCCTTTCAAATGTCCTACTTTCACTGCAAAAACAGACAGATGAATTGGACATAAGGGAGCGCTGCTTAAAATTCAGTGCAATACTTCTCTAGAAATCAACTGAAAAGAGATTGAATTTACATTCATCTTTCTCAGACAAAATATGAAAATCTATTAGAAAAACTATTAGTACAGCTAATAGAAAAAACAGTACAGCTCTTTAATGTTTCTCCTTTTGTGTCATATTTTTGGAGTCTGATTAGGTGAACTATTCCTCTAAAGTTAACTAAGAGTAACTAAACGAAAGCTTTACTGATAGCATTTAGGAGAAACATTAAAGAGTTGTACTGTTTTTTTTTAATGCAATAAATGTGAACTGGAGCTTTCAAGTTTCAAGAAGGCTGCACAAGCACCATAAAATTGTTCATTATGATTCATGTACTATATATAGTCTTCTGAAGTCATATGTCTGAAGTCTTTGTGTAAGGAAATAGAATAATAAAAAAATTCACTCAAAAAGGAAAATTCTGTCATAATTTACTCACCCTAATGTGGTTCCAAACCCAAAAGTCTTCCATTCTTCTTCAGAACATAATGAAAGCCTCATTGGTCCTTGTGCATCAAACAAGTAGCTACTACTGAGCTTTTGTACTTTTTAATGTGTGGAAGTTTTGGTGGAAGATGTATGAAAGGCTTATGTTTTCGGAATGACGCGGGTTAGTAAATCAATTTTACATTTAAATTTTTGGGTTCCTTTAATACGTGAGTCTATACAATCTATTAATACTCTAATAAGACTTAGTTGACATGTAGTTGCAAAGTTACTAGAATGTCCAAAAGTGGACCATCAAAATAAAGTGTAACCTCACGTCCAATTGCAGAAATGTACAGACGGGTTTTGTGACCCAATCTGTCATGTAACGGATATAATTCTCTCACGAGCGTGTTAAGGAGCTCTGGGGTGCAGGGGGTTCAAGATTTTCAGCGAATAATATTTTTTGATCTGTATCTTACACAAAGATACAGTATGGCCTCAGAAAACTTGAAATATATCACACAAGTACATTTTATGGTACTTCTGCATTCTTTTTGAAGCTTGAAAGATGGAGGCCAATTCATTGTGATTTCATAAAATTGCAATGAGTACCTTGATCAAAATTCTGAAAAAGTCATGGGTTTTGTAACAACATAGATTAAAGACAATTTTCATTTTGTGTTCACTGTTCCTTTAAGGACAGATATGCAAATAGTAGCGTCAAGAAGTGTCAAAACTTGTGCTGCATGCTCCATTTCAAACTACAGAGCGTGTTGAACTTTCTTCAAGGACTCTAAAACAGTGTTTATTTAAAGAAATCTCTCGGCCGCTGCCGAGTGTTTTGATGCCATTCTGTTGGAAAAATCTCTGTAGCCAAACCTCTACTGCATGTCCCAGTTTGACACTGAGCTCAATCAACATCATCCCAGAGCCGGATGAAACAACCTGGTGAAAATAGCTGCTCACACAGCACTGAGATACATCTTTTTGTACGGGAGGAATTTTCTACGAAGACGACTCTGGAGAAGTTGTTTGAGTTCATCGTGAAGTATGCGGTTGCATGTATAAACATTTTGCACAATTATTTGCAGACTTGTCCTGAGTGCAGTTTCAGACTACTTCGCTGCCATGTTCACAAATGATGTGAGGGAGGCAAAACAAGAGGAAATTAAAATGGAGGGTGTTGATCCTGAGGCGCTGAAAGCACTGGTTCATTTTGCTTATACTGGTGAGTATCTACATTCCACTTGCGGACTTTTTATAGGTGCACTAGTAGTAAAGCAGAAGTGTGGCATCCACAAACAGATCAATTTTTTTCATTGATGCCAGTGGGCAAAACACTCATTTACAAACACAAACTAACTGTTTAACATTGCACCAGTTAAACATAGCATTTTATTCCTAGAATAATTCTGAAAAGTTTGCTGCATATTTTAGTCTTTTCTCTAAATTTACAGGAGTCCTGGAGCTAAAAGAGGAGACAATTGAAAGTCTTTTAGCTGCTGCTTGCCTCCTCCAGCTCTCACAAGTTATTCAGGTCTGCTGCAACTTTCTGATGAAACAACTGCACCCATCCAACTGCCTGGGGATCCGTTCGTTTGCTGATGCACAGGGATGCATGGATCTTTTGAATGTCGCTCATATCTACACTATGGTAGGACCTGGCATATAAAGTAGCTTGTCAAGGATAAATGATAAATTAGCTATAGCTAAATAGTGCTAACATTTGTCCTGACTGCTAGTTGCTGACCTTTTACAGAGATTTTCACAGTAGTAATTGTAGAATTACAGTTAAATAACGCCTGCATACTGTCACAGTGAATGGGAGTTGAATTATTATGATGGTTGTAGAATCCCAATGATTATCTGTGTCTGCATTACAGTAAGCTCATGCATATTTACAGATTAACCAGTATAATGTCTAGAGTACAAGCTGGCGATGTTCCCAGCATGCACTCTGGCATGAATAAATTATGCGGTTTCATTGTTTTACTATTTGCCGGTTTTACTGTTGCTTTTGACTTATTTTGTAATGTACAGATGCATTTAAATTTAGGCTTGTTGATTGTCAGAATAATTGATTTTTAGTATGTAGTATATCTCATACTAAAGGTTCACTAGAGGTAACAACCATCTGGGGAATATTCATATGAGATATCAACATTTAGCATACAAAACCCAATAATCCTGACAAGAAACAAGCACTATTTTACCAAAAAGGAAAGCACCCTCCTACCTCAATTGTAAAAAGATTATGAATTATTTCTGTACACAATATTTCCACATACAGTGTAGGGAAATATACATGATTGTAAGTTAAGATCAAAATCAATTCTTTGTTTTGTACCACTATTACATTGGCTGGAAGAAAAAGTAATATAATTCAATTAAATGTAATTAAAAGTGAAAAAGGTCTAAAATCCCAGTCAAAAGAAAAACTAATCACCACAATGATTTCAAAAGAAAATTTAATATGCTTACCAAATTATCTTAAATTATTGCAATATTTATTCATCTGTTTTTTTTAATGTTATCATAGAAAATGACACTGCTATCACAGTACAATTCTAGACATAGTATTTTCATGTAAGAAATTACTGCTAAAGTAAGATGACTTACTCAAAAGGAGACATTTATCCCAGAATATCCAAGCAGCTCTACAAAGAAAGTTAAATGGTTATCAGAACTGTCAATCAAGAATTTTAAGGCTAGATTTGGAGTAAATTACAGACTGAAATATATCATATGACTTCAGAGTACTTAGAATGTAGTGCATGAAACATGTGGACTGATTTTCTTAGCAACCTTCTTTTTTTTTTTTTGCCCTGCTTGACCACTCCAGTTTTCATTGTATGGAAGATAGCAGCATGAACATTCTTCTCAACGTCTCCTTTTGTATTCCATCGACCAAACTAAATTCATAAAGGTTTGAAGCAACATTAGGGTGGCAGAATTTTCACTTTTGAGGTAAACTTTAAAATAAAATCTTGTACCTGTCAACTCTTTTCCTGCATATTGAAAAAACAGGAAATACCACAAGTTTTAAAACCCAGTCACTGACATAGAGAATTCCAAGCATAAAATGACTTGATGTGACATTTTGTATCTCAGCATGCGGTCAGTTTAAAGGGGTGTACAGAGCTCTTTGATGTGTGAGAAATATAGCAAAGGCAGCTTTGGTTAAATAATGCCAATACATTAAGTATTCTCAGGAGCCCAAGCATCCCCAGAGCACATTTGCTTGATGGGCATTTCTCTGCCCAAGTGCGGAAACAACTTAGGAAGATAGCCGTTATCTCCTGAAGGACATCTGCACAGGCTGTTTACAAAGGGCTTTCCAGAGCAGAGTGGTTAATCTAATCAGAGAACACAAGCAGAAAATTTCCTGTTCCATCGCTTCGGTAATGAACACAGCGTTAACAGAGCTTCCTGGTTTGCTTGCTGTGATGTTCAGATTATAAAGTTCTTTTTTGATAAGCTTGTTTTTCCTCGTTTCAGTCTCATCCTGACATTACATCTTTGTGTGTGTGTGAGAAGCTGCAGTCTTACATGGGTTAATATCTGAGTTCAAGACATCTATGGCCTGTAGCATGCTGGAAGTCACTGTATTTTCTTTTGAATGTAAAAGGGAGATTCGTTTGCAGTCACAAGAGGAAAAAAATGTGCAGAATAAAGCAACTGAGACATTGCTTAGATAAATGACTGACAACACAAACACTGCTCTAGGTCAAATTTCCCCTCATGAATACATTAGATTTGGTGCAACCCATTAAATTCTCACATCCTCCCTTACAATTTAATTCATTTCGATATTACGGAGCCTTGTGCCTCTCACACTAATATTGCTGCAGGACCTGTTACTTGCTGTTCAGTTTAATGCCCTTGCCTAAAATATATGCCCTGAGAGGCCTTTAAATGAATGTTTGCAGTGAAACAGAATTAATGTATTCAATTAATTGCCAGGGTGCTTGTGATGGTAATTGCGATTAATGAATCTATATCAATGTCACCAGAAGAAGTAGAGTTTTAAATCTATATTGAGGAGGGGCTGAAAATCAATGCATGGTACTCATTTAATTATGTGTGTCTGAGCTAAGCTCCGAGAGCCCAGGCACGGCTTTAGCAGAGATGATGCTGTTTAGATCTGATTAATGATCAATAGGATGTTTACTACCCTTATTTGCAACAGAATCAATGGGGATTACTTCTGATGCACAAAGGAGACTCTGGAAGTGCCATAAGTAATGAACAAGCTTGTTAGAGAGATTTACGGCATCCTCTTTACTTACAAGTTGAACCTTGAAAAAATGGATTTATCAGAGAGCAACTCGGATGTCCTTGTGGACGCATTGGAGCAGATCATTATAACGCTGATATGACATATTTATTTTAAACATTAATTAGATTCTCAAAAATGCATCATTGAAAACAAGATGTTATATTTTGTGTCAGTGCCATCCACTTGTTAAGTCGTGACATATCGAATACTCTTTCAGGTCCAAACCTCTACTCCGTTTCAAGTGAAAATACCATCTTAACAGTAGCATGTGAGCGCTAATCATTCATATCACTATTTTAAACGAAGCTTAAAAAAATAAAAATAAATCATGCTATACACTACTCACAAACTCCAATATTTTTACGATTCCTGAAAAAAAGGTTTCACTGTATCACTGAGATTACACTTTATTTCGATAATCCACTTTAGACATTCTACTAATTTTGCAACTACGTACATGTCAGCCAACTCTCAGTAATTTGCAACTACATGTCAACTAACTCTCATTAGAGACTACTAGGTTATAGTTTTATGGTTAGTAGAATAAGTTAAAGCCTTGTAGTCAGTAGAATATCTATTGGGGGACCATCAAAATAAAGTGTTAGCAGATATTGAAGGGGACCTATTGTGCCCCTTTTTTTAAAGATGTAATATAAGTCCTAAGTGTCCCCATCATTTCTTACTATTATAGGGTGGTTGTAGGGTGTTTGCCAACACACATTTATGTTCAAACACCATGTAAAATTGAATTTTGCACAATAGGTCCCCTTTAAGCAGACAGTCTACTAACATTCTAATGACTGCTATTGATAGTAGAATGTTTAACCCTCTGGGCTTCTTTGTTTAGGGGTTACACTTGGCTTCCTTTCGGTCAAAAAAGACCGAAGCCTTAAAGGACAACTCCGGTGCAAAATGAACCTCGGGTGTAATAACACATTGGTACAGACTAAATCGTTCCCTGAGATTTGTTTTCATGATAATCGAATGTAAAGAGTTTTATCTCTAAAAACAGTTAAGCTTATAACGCTAGTATATTGGGCATCGAGTAAGCAAAAAGAGATCGCTAGTTAAAGGTTCTCTAAGCGATCCTGGGTGACGTCACTTCTTGTTGACGTTCGAACTATTGTCAAACAAAACGGAGGCTAGCTAGACCCTCCCTCCTCCTCATCCGCACACTAACCCCCCAAACCACACCCCCAAACCCTTCTTGTCGGTCATTGGCTGGAACAGTTTGTTATGTTTTGGGGAGCGGGTCGCTGCAGTTTGTTTTTGGTGCTGTTTGTGAAGCATGGGCTGTCTACAGAGATCGCGTTTCTTTACAGTGTGTTCAGGGGACAGGCAGCCAGCGGTTAGTGAGGAGATGTTTGCTGTATGTGACAAAAAATGTTTTGGCCTAAAAAACACATGACATCGCTTAGAGCACCTTTAATACCATTAACAAGGCTCAAATTAGCCCCACACTAACACGGCAGCATAATGAGTGTCCTTACATGCAAACCGAAGCATTGAGAACTTTGTAAGTGTATAGACAGTTTAATAAGAAGATACTTTACACAGACAGTACAGTTAGCGCATACAGACAGCAGCCATCTTGGAAAACAGCCTCGATCAGTCAAACCACGAACACGGTGATACGTGAGCTGAACTGTGACTTGGAATCTCATATGGTCCGTTGTTTCCGGAAGAAAGCACTGAGCGCATAAGAGAAGCACTGAACGCAACAGAGAAAATAAAAAAATAAATATAATTTATCTTATCTTCAATATCTACACGTACTGTTCGCTCACCTTCGTGGTTCGATTGATCGAGGCTGCTTTCCAAGATGGCTGCTGTCTGTATGCGCTAACTGTACTGTCTGTGTAAAGTATCTTCTTATTAAACTGTCTATACACTTACAAAGTTCTCAATGCTTCGGTTTGCATGTAAGGACACTCATTATGCTGCCGTGTTAGTGTGGGGCTAATTTGAGCCTTGTTAATGGTATTAACTAGCGATCTCTTTTTGCTTACTCGATGCCCAATATACTAGCGTTATAAGCTTAACTGTTTTTAGAGATAAAACTCTTTATATTCGATTATCATGAAAACAAATCTCAGGGAACGATTTAGTCTGTACCAATGTGTTATTACACCCGAGGTTCATTTTGCGCCGGAGTTGTCCTTTAAAATGTAACTTTTTTCCCCCCCAGGAAAACCATTCAAATATATTTTTGTTCAATAATATTTTCTTATTATTATTTAGAATTTTTAAAGATTTTTATGATACTTTGCATTATTTATATAATTTTTACGAGCTATTTTTTCCATTAGAATTTTTAAAAAAAAAAAATTTTTTATTATATAATTTTTTTTTTTTTTTTTTTTACTCAACGTGACACATTAAAATATAATGCTGGCAGCAGGCAAAAAAAAATTCAAGTGAGAATACCGCCATCCAGTGGCTTTAAAAATGTTTTAAAGTGTGTAATGTCCGTAACCGCCTGTAGGCTGCCCATAGCTTCCTATGTAAATACATAGAAATGCTTTTTGATTCCTATTGCTGTTTTAGACATGATTTCTCTCTCTTATTCGTTTTTTTTATTTAGATATATATTTAGATATGCTAAAAGACTACTTTTTCTTTTTTCTTTTTATTTTTTTAAGATAAGTAAAAATGTATAAATGTGTGTAATGTCCGTAACCGCCTGTAGGCTTCCTATATAAATACATAGAAAGGCTTTTTGATTCATATTGTTGTTTTAGACATGATGAGGTGTGTGTGTGTGTGCATTTGAGCGAGAAAGAGTAGCCTATCTTTTGTACTTTATTTTAATTTTTGATTTTATTTAGCATTTTCTCAACATTTGCTGTTACAGTCTTTCCTATTCATTTCTCTGTGTGTGTGTGTGTTTGTGTGCGTGGGTGTGTGTGTGTGGGGGGGAGGTGTCTTATTTGCACTCTTGATGTTTTAGAGTGTCACCCCTTCATTGCTGTACACTTTTTTTCTGCACAGTGGCTGATCTGTAGTTTGTACCACCAAAAGTTTCTCTGAGTTTTCCTATTTTTTCGTATTTCCCATTCATTTCCTATGTCGGTCATTTTTGACCGAAAGGAAGCTAAGTGTGACTATTTTTTTTAAGACCCTTTAACATATCCGAATCATCTCCTTGATTTTTTTGTGTGTTCACATAGGTAATACAACAAAAGTCACCAAGTTTCATCCCCCTCCGATTAAGCAAAAAAATTAAACATTTCAAAACGTATACTGTTTCGGTCATTTTTGACCGAAGAAGCCCAGAGGGTTAAAGTGTACTATCGAGAAAAAAAAAAAGGGTCACCTGGTATGGAGATAAAGATTAGGATGATGAGTTTTTGGTAGTACTACAGCACACAAGTGTAAATATGTTTGCGTTTGGAATCTGAAGAAGTGTTTGTTGTACAAGTGGTGACTTGTAACGTCAGACTTAACAACTGGATTGCTGCATTAGACACAGCGAGAAAACATTTAAATATTTAATGGTCTAAATAAATATATTTTGGAATTGTACATTAATGTCTCATTGCATTTATCAATGTCTCACAGATTTATAATATAAGCAAATACAATTGCTTAATATTTCAGGAACACTTTCTAGAGGTCATTCAGAATCAGGAGTTCCTCCTGCTACCCACAATGGAAATTGTCAAGCTTTTGGCCAGTGATGAAATCAATGTTCCAGATGAAGAAACAATTTTTCAAGCACTGATGATGTGGGTTCGCTATGATGTGCAGCCCCGGCAGCAGGATCTAGGAGTGTTACTGGCATATATTCGACTCCCCCTTTTACCGCCACAGGTTTGCCAATAACATGCATATGAGACTATTGTTCGTTTCATACAACTGAATGTAATACCTAAAAACCTAATCTAATATTTAAATGTTATTCTTCAACATTCCACTGTTTAGTCCCTTTTTCTGTTGGACGTTAATGCACTGTTTTCTTGATTTAGCTTCTTGCTGATCTGGAAAACAATAAGATGTTTTCAGAAGACCTGGAATGCCAGAAGCTCCTAATGGAAGCCATGAAGTACCATCTTTTACCAGAGCGCCGTCCCATGCTACAGAGCCCAAGAACCAAACCACGGAAATCCACTGTTGGATCGCTCTACGCTGTTGGAGGGATGGACGCCTCTAAAGGTGGACCATGTTTTAGCTCTTTCCTGACTTTTATTATAGCAGTACCTCTCATTGCCATAAAATAGTTTTTTTTTTGTACACAGGATGTTCAGCAGAATTCAAGCCATTATCTATTTGATTTTGTCTCTGATAGACCTTTTTTGTCGCTGTCAGCTATTAGCATGCAAATCTACAACTAACAATAAACTAAGAGTCTGTCTACATTTAGGGTCTACAACAATAGAGAAGTATGACCTTCGCACAAACAAATGGATCCAGGTTGGCATCATGAATGGGCGAAGACTTCAGTTCGGGGTGGCAGTGATCGACAACAAACTCTATGTGGTAGGAGGAAGGGATGGGCTCAAGACCTCTAACATGGTGGAGTGCTACAATCCAATCACTAAAGTGTGGTCCAACATGCCTCCAATGTCAACACACAGACACGGATTAGGTGCGTTCTTTGAATGCTTCAGATATTTGTGTAATCTTATTACACAGCATGTTCATATATTAATAACTGTTACACAGTAATGTTCACTATCTGCTTCTGTTATTGACATGGTATGAAATAGTCTTTTTTTTTTAATGGAATATTTTGCTGAACCTTTAGAAAAAACAAAAGGCTTTTGTTTTTGTTGAGTATCATTTGATACATCAGGCTTTTATGGCTCATTTATTATGAAAAATGAGAATATGGAGCTCACATTTGAGAAGGCAAAACAACAACAACAACAAAACACCTCAGTTTTATTCAGAGGCCCAAACAGAGCAAAAATACGCAATTTGGTGCAGTTACAATGCAGGATGAAATACTGGTTGTAATGTAAATCAATGAGATCTTTATAACAGTAAAGAAAACTTCTTTCATAAAATTAATCTAAATATCAGTTGTCACTCTATATCTCCCAATAATGTCTTAGTAAGATGATATTTAAATGTATAGTTTTATGATCAAAGCTTTGTAGTTTTTAGTGTAGGGGAAACAACATTTAAACATAACTTCTGTAAAGAGAACAGAAACGACCTCACATTTATAACGCCATTCTGTATGCTGTAATTTATAAGGATTTGCTCATGATTATTAATGAAGCTAGTTCACCCGGTAGGCCTAACTTATTAACCCTTCAAAGTCTGAGGGGTTTTATGCCCGCCTGGCACTATGTTGATATTTTGGCTTCTGGAATGGTCAATTTTCATAGCAGAGTGAAGAGAGTCATATTTCTGGATTCTATAGACTCTCAGCTACAATGTGGATGCATTTATAATACACTTCTTAAGACACTTGTATGTCTTCTGTTGTGATATATCACCAAGAAATACAAAAACAAAAGTTCAATTTTTTTGTTTTTATTATAGAAAAATATTAAACCATAGATGAATAAGGGATTTTACAACAAATATTGATTCGTCAAAGGCTTTAGAAAAAAAAGAAAAAAAATGGGTGAAAAAATATAAAGAAACAAATGAACTGTTTACATTTTTGTGACTGTAGTCACCATACTTTTTTTGTGTGTGAAAAACACAGCAATTATAAGAAAATGTAAAGGGAACACAAATGTTAATTTTGAATTGAATATTCTCTCAATTTACCAAACACATCCAAAAACAACCTCTAGATGTCACTGTGCACTGCATTTGCACATCAGTCCACCCAGGGCGCGCGCGGGCGCGTTCAGAGTCCTGGGTTGTGCAATGATGCAATCGGCTGTTCTGGGGCTGTTCTAAAACACACAATGTGGTAAATAAAGATTAGCTATTCATCATCATGTGTGTATTTATACATCCAAGTCATAGAACTTCTAACTACAATAATCTAACTATTATTACAGGAGCGTTCATCATTACGCACCGAGTATACAATGTCTTCCAAACCCCCTCCTATGTAGACAAATAGTACAGGCCTTATAAGGCTTACTGTACCATTATTTCTGAAAAGCTACAATAAAATTTCCCTAAATAAACATTACAATAAAATAGACAAGCAAAGTAAACGAAATAGCTTGCAAATGAAGAGGGACTAGCAGCTACATGCGGCCAAAACGCGCACATTACTTGATGGCGCACATTATTTGATTAGCCTACTGCTCCGTAATTTCTGAAAAACTAAAATAATTTTGCTAAAAAAACTGATGCAATATATATTAGAAAATACATTATAATATTGCATTCATTACTTACTCCTCAAATGGATCGATTCCGTCCAGAACTTGATCATCTTCATCCGAATCAAATCGAGCTGGATCAGATCCGTTCTGACTCTCATTGCTCTCGGCAAAAATCATTTCAGCAGTGAATCTTCGTTTGGCCATGTTTTCTTTGAAAAGAATCTAGTACAAATACGTGTATCTCCAAATGTTTTGTGTCCAAAGACCGTTGCGAATCCCACGTGGGATTGATTCCAAACCCCTCCCCTTTTTTACGTTCCTGAAAACGTCATTTTTTGTTTTTGGTCTGTGATTGGTTCACACACAGGTCTGTCATTGGTTCACACACAGATCTGTCATTGGTTCACACACACACACCCACAACAGATCTTTATAACACTAGACAGGATTAAGTACAATTTCTCCGTTTTGCGGTAAAATGCACTCAAATACGGAAGGCTTATCATTCGCGGAAGTCAACAAAGTCAGGGTCCTTTTACGCAGACGAATGTCAGCTTTTTAATAAAAAAAAAAGTAAGTTAATACCTTGATCCATTCCGAAGTTATTAATAGATTTGTAAGGGGAGTGCATCTTGACGCTCTAGAGCGTCAATCGACTTAACTGAAAGGAATACATTGCTAATCAGCTATTAAAGAAGAAGAAATACTACTATTATGAGGGTATAGTTCATAAATGAATATTTATTAATTTATTAAGCCAATTTGCTTTAATTTCCATGTAAGGGTAGGTGCATTAGGGAGTAATGTCAAATTGTCAAATTGAACAACGTTTTCTGTTGGACAAAAATAAACACCTCCACTCAAGTCTGGTTTAGTGATTGGGTCATTTTGAAACACAGCTCCATGAAGCTTTATTTCCAATGGTTCAGAGGGTGTATCAAACTAGCAAAGGCACGTGAGTTCAGCAACTTAATGATTTGTTGATTACATTTAATAGATTACACTTTCATGAAACCATTTGCAATTAGTTTGCAAAAGGTGGCATTAAAGCCTACATGTTTTGGCTGTTATTGTTGCATTTAAAACACCTTGACCAGCAGTTGTCACCAGCATTAGGTCCTCTTTAACATGTTTCGTACACAAAAATAATACATTTGAATAAATAAAAAATTGCAGTAATAGTGCTGGCTTTCTTGACATTGATTCTTACTCGTGAACGTTGATAATTTAAGCACCAAATACACTAACCTAAATTGACAATTGAAATTGAATAGAAAATTAAGTGTATGTGTTGTACAATAAAAGCAAGCCTTATTGCTGACTATTTTAATAATGTGGGACATAATAGAAATTGTGACTTTAACACCCATGCCTCAGGAAATAACTATAAAAATAACTGGGTGGTCACACATCAAAACAATATATGTATATTAATAAAGGCAATCTGGTCTGCCCATAAAAATGTATATAAAAATATGGCAGGTAATTTAAACTCGTAGAGGAGAAAATGCATTGTACAATAATCCCATAAAACTGACACTCAAATGTTGCTCATTGAGGTCTATAAAGTGCACTGCAATATCAGAACCAAAATGTCGGTCAAGAGACGATTTATATGTCAAGCCCCCAAAAGCGACAGCCAGAGATTTATAATAGAAACATGAGGGACCTTTTCTGTAAAGGGAGCAGCGAGATGAACCATGAATACTTAATGCTTACCACAGCGTCTCAGGGCTCTCGTCCTCAGAGTCAGACCGGAAGAATGTCTTTAGCTACTGATGAAGTGCTCCTATGGAAATTAAATCCATAGTATTGCCATTTGCCAGTTTCACTACAATACAAAGACAGACAATTAATATTGGATTGTGCATTTGTCGAATGTATGCCATGCATCACCAAAAGCTGAGCCCAGAGTCTTTCTCTTTACTTGTTTTATTTATTTATTTCTTCAAAAAGGAATTGCTGTGCTGGAGGGGCCCATGTATGCAGTGGGAGGCCATGACGGATGGAGCTATTTGAACACAGTAGAAAGGTGGGACCCCCAGGCGAGGCAGTGGAATTATGTGGCCAGTATGTCCACCCCGCGCAGCACTGTCGGAGTCACTGCTCTCAATGGAAAGTAAGGAAATCATTTGTTCTTATTTTCTTTTGCAGAATTGTTGCGCTACCATACAATTTTAAAAATCGCTGCTCCTTACAGAATTACTAAAACTGTAGTAATATTGTAATATGTAAAACATTTTAATTTGGAATTTAATTCACTCAAAAAGAGAGAAGTAGAAAAAAAAACCTTTTCTATCAACAGCAGTATACAGTATGTGCAGTGTGCTGGCTGATCGCTTTCCTCCATGGATTCTCTTCATGATGAGGTCTGAATTAGGTTCTTTATCCAATACACTGCGTAACCTTGTACAGCCAGACGGGAGTTAATAGGCTCTGAGACCAAAGCATCTCTAGTGTCTTTTACATTAAAGTCACTTGAGTGGCATGCAAGCTGCTGTTAGCTTTATCCAACAAAAAAAAAAAACAGATGCTGGTTTTGAATCTAGCAGAACATTGACTGATGACTATGACCAGGTCAAAAACAAGCCCTTCAAGCCTACCTCTAGAGCCCACTGTCCTACTTTTCAAAGTGATTAATTGATCAGTCTTTTCAACAGAACATCTTTTTGAATCTCTTTAGGACAGGGGTTGTCAGCCTCTTCTGACCCAGGGATCCCTCGCCAAGACTCTCTGGAAAGAAAACCGTTGCAACGTGATCTCATGAGAATACGTGTGTTTTTTTACGTAAAGTGTAACTTAGTTCTATCATACGTACATTTATTTACGTTTTATACACGCAGAAACGTATAATACTACTGATGCATTTACAGCTTTAAAACGTAAAATGTTTACGTATTGACAGCACAAAAACGTAATTTATTTACGTATGAACAAATCTACTGACGTACAAATTTGTACGTATTACTATTTATGCATATTAAAATCGTGGCATTCAACTGTCTTATCAATTAAGTTTTCAGTCGCATTTATTAATATAATACTCATAAATATTAACATTTTGCTCGTTTCGCCTGCATGGTGTTAAACAAGAATACACTTTAAAACCTTAAAAATACCTTCTTTACTCGTTTAACCATTTTGTAGTATAGTTTATTTACCGTGAGACACAAAAGCGTTTTCTCCTATAAAACACAACATAAATTCACAAAATACATCAATTTTATTAGTTTGATGTAATTCAAATCTTTACAATCCATACGTTGTTTGTAAGAAACAGATCCAAATTCAGCCTTGTATCCAGTGATCTTCATCTCTATTTCTCAGCAGCGACCGTACACGTCAAATCCATGGTCAAATCCCGCGCTGGTGATGATTCAAATTCAAAAATTTGCGCCCTCAAGAAGCGTTACGTCATGTTTTACGGCAGTGATATCAAACGCTCATTGGCTCTTTCCTGCTTCGTCACAGATTGCGACATGCCGTGTTTCAGTCGGTGACGGTGCAGTACATTTGAAATGGAGAAGCGCGCGCGCCTTCACAGAGCGAACCCAACCGAAGCCGGATTAACATTTTCATGGATTATTAATTTAAATTCTGCTCTGTACCTCATACAACACTATTATAGAGGACTGCGACTGCAACACATCATCATGTGAACGACTTTTGGTAACGTTACCGGTTTTGACCTTTTCGCAATAAATAAATTATAGTGATTATAACGTTACTTGTCTGTCTGTCTGTTATGTTTTTCTTCATAATTGTAGTCTACGTAGTTTTAAGGAATGGTTATGGGTAGGTTTAGGGGTAGGAGTAGGATTAGTGGCTCAAAATATATTTTAATGCTATTGTTAATAAAACTGCCATTTGCCTACACATCTCTGTCCATTACGTTTTATCCTTTTTATATTCTGTATAAAATGGGTATGTTTAGGTTTGGGAATAGGGTTAAGGGATCTTACATTTATCTATAAAATGGTAAAAGGGAAATTATACAGATATGTTTATGATATGGAATATACGTAAATAGTTAACGTTTTGTAGCTGTAAAATCGTAATAATGTTACGTTTAGTCCATGATATGAACGTGCTCGAAATTATTAGTAACATTGTAACGTTAAGGCCTCAGTAAGGTCTCTAAGGTCATCCCACCAGAGACTGCTAAATGTTCCCCAGGTTTGGCTAAAATTTAGAGCTGATCGTACTTTTGTCATTGCTCCACCAAATTTTTGTAAAAGCCTACTTGTTTTTTTTTTTAAACAATTGCTCTAAACATATCTATTTTCTCTGGCTTTTAATCATAGCTGATTTCTTTAGACATATTATACAACACCTTGGTCAGCGATCTTTCTTTTTAATAATGCTTAGTATATAATATTTTTTTCTTAAATATACATGCATGTGTGTGTATTTATTTATATATATATATATACAAAATAATTATACACAGTGCACCCACATATATTATGCAAAAAAAACTTATTTTGGATGTGATTAATCATTTGACAGCCCTAATTTTAACCACAATATTTATTTTTACATTTCACAAAGAAATCCACAGAACCCTGAAAGAAAGCGAAAGAAGTTCACAAACCCTCATCTGAAATATACCACTTAGGCTATCTCAAATATTTATTTTTATCAGTGTAATTCTCAGTATTTTCAGGAAAGTGAGTAGTTTGAAAAAGAAAAATACACATTTCTTTCATATTTCACTTAAAGTTAACATGACATTTTAACCTATTTATTTTTCTTAAGGTCTTACTGTGCTCACTTAAACAATTATTGCTTGTAATATACATTTTTATATATATAAAAATGGAAGTTGCTACTGATTTGACTAATGTATTGTGATGTGTGACTAAAACTCCAGGACCTTTTATTTTATTTTTTATTGTTGTATATGAATGTGGTTGGTTTAACTGCAGTGCAGCCTTGTGATATGCTCACTTGATGTCTATGAAATATGCAAGAAGAGCAAGTTTTGACATTTAGATAAAATATTACTTCAATTTCTGTTTCAGGGGGCAAATAAAACCACTAAAAAACAGTTCATTTCTGACTGTGGTGATGCAGGAGGGCAGTAGTCTGTAATTAATTTTAAACTCACATTCAGGGCTTCAGTTCACTTAGCAGCCACCTTGGCAATGGCCCCTGGCAGCTATTTTCTATCTATGTAATAGGTATATACAAGTACAGGTCATGTTTACTTTAAAGTCACCATGAATCAAAACTGACATTTCTTCAGCCACAAACAGCAGCAATAGCAAACCACAATGATCCAATGATCACATCAATTCCTGATGGACAAAATCAAGTCCCACCCTGCATTATTTTTTCTTTTTTGAGAAGCCGTTTGACATGGATATGCGTCACAATAGGGAAGAAAAGACCACAACAACTTCAGTTTCATGCTGACTTTAATGTGTAACCCAGTAGGTTATAACTGTGTTGTTAATAAGTTACTTCAATTTATTAGCTTGTATTTGTTTAATTAAGAGAGAAAATGTGAATTAACCATTCATCTTTGTTTGTGATCATACGTGTATTTGTGCCTTTAAGAGCGCGCGTGCATGAGATACAAGTTTGATAGAGGTGTACTTGTGGAAAACGTGGCTTTAACCATCAAGTTAGGTGTTTGATTAGTTATTGGTTTATGTGAATTAAGTCCCGCCCTCACTGGTGTTTTGTGTAATGTGAGTGGTTGTTCGGGACATGAGAGTTTTTGTTGACAAGCGCGAGGGAGAGAGGGAGAGAGACGGAGATTGAGAGAGACGCATTTGCGGGTACAGAGTGATTTGATTGACGATTTTATAAGTTAAACAACCTTTAACTGTAATGTAGATCCAAGATGAATTGCTTGTGTGTGCGTCTTTGACTTTGTAGCCAGTGTTTTTATAGTTTTGTTTTGTGTGGCTAACCTGCCGTGTGGGAGCGAATCCGAGTGTTTTCGTTTAGTTATCACTGCGCATATCTGCGCATCTGAACTGATTACAGCGACAGTTAAACAACCGACTAAAGACTGTTTAACCTGGTTGTTGCCCTTCACAACGAGGGAGACCTTGAGGACCAGATAGCGCCCCAAATACCCGCGTTATTTGGGGTTCCTCTGGCGGCGTGGGAGGTGCATTTCGTCGGCTGACGAGGGAGAGAGAGGACGAGGAGCTGCGTGACGCCTGCTGCAGGATTCCGGAGTTGCGGTATCATTGCACGTGGAATTGAGGTATCTTTGTTTGAATTGTTTTGTGCTCAGGAGAGTGAAGGGGCCATTTGTCAGTTTCCCGGCCACCACGAACACGAGCCACGTTTCAGGCCTGCAACGGGGTGGGTTGTGTGAATGACTGGTGTGTATGTGTGGGCCCACCGCATTAAATATTATTCAGTGCACTGAAAATAATTGTTTATATTCAGAGTATATTTGGTATAATTTGTGAGTTATTGTATACATTTATCCCATTGAGGTCATTGGTTTAAGATATACTGATTCTATTGGACCTGTATACTAATTTCAGTAGGTCGGGCATCTGAGAAATTGTCCTTCGAGGATTAAATTGTGTCCCATTTAATGTGAATGTGATTGTGGGAACACTTCACATTCTGAAACTCATTGTTTGAGCCAGTTAACATTTGATCATTCTATTACAATTAAATCCTTTATTTGTTTTGTACTTTTACCAGTGTGTTATTCTTTCAGAAGTGTTTGTTGACTTCATCAGTTTGGGGGCGTAGAGATTTAATTCTGAGTAACTTCGTAAAAGGAAAGTATAGATTATTATTCTAATTTTCTAAAAGAGAATTAATTCATTTAGTGACACCAGAGGGGCCTAACTTCAACATCTGTAGGCATATAGTTAATGAATCTGGAGCGCTGTCCTACTTAATTACAAGAAAGACAGGTAGGGGGCGCTACATAAAGTGGGGGCTCGTCCGGGATCTCCCTCTGTGAGTCACACAATAGTTGATGCTGAAAGAAGAAAAAGAGGAATTAAGCTCAACACACCCCTGTAATTACATCATAATTAACTGAAAAGTGCATAAAGTGTCATCATGGCTCTATCAAAAGACCCCAGTCTCCAAGCAGAGTTGGCCAACTGGTGCAAAGATGCTAGCATTGAAGAG